TCATAATTAAACCTCACCATATTTACATTTTTCTTTTTTGACACCAAGACTAATTCCTTTGTAATTCTTCTACTACTAGCTAACTAGATAAATATATTCATTATAGTCTTTTCTTACTAAATTCTATCCTAGATTGCATATTTGCTATTAATAATCTATTTTATATTTTTTTCTAAAATTCTAATATTAAAATTTTCATAAAATTTGTGTTTTAAGCACAATAAGTGTATTTTTTATACTAAATATCAAAGTGAGTCAATTCAATGGCTCACAACTAATCTAAATTGTATAAGATTTGTCAACTGATCACATGTTATCTTCTTTGCATTGATGGGCCAAATTATTTTCTAAACTTGGTCTCAGACTCCTCTCAATCACAAAATCCACCTTAAGCTCTATAACTTTCAATTTGATGTCGCCACCAAATGGTTGCCGCATCTTTCAAATAATTGGCTGCATATATAATTCCTTCAATGGTATTTGCCCTAGATAATTAGACGTATTATTACATGTTGAAGAGCCATTGATACACATCTTCTTGTCTAGAAGTCTCAGAGTATGTACTAAGCTTACTCAATTTCAATCTAGGAGATGTCAACTCTCTTGACCTTGATGCTTCTATTTGGCCTTATTAAGTAGCTATCTCACCTAAGAGGTGTTGTATTTGAGCTTTAATCTGAGATTGCTCTGTCCTATCTTTCATACTATAATTTCTTTGCTGGATTCTACTATTACAATGTCTTTTCTCCTCCCAATTGATTTTTTAAGAGTACCTCATAATAGCCTCAACACAATATTCAATGTAACCATAATAACTAACCTTAGATTAGATGATGATTATTGATACGCTACCAAAAGTAAACAGTGTAACACTCACTCTAATACTAATGAAATAAGACCAGACTATCTCAAAAATCTAAAATCCTTTTAATCCACAACAACATAAAGTTTCATCACAATATAGGACAAAACATATGAGAGAAAAACTAAATGGAATTAAATAAAATAGGACATGAAGGACAAAAATAAGCAAGCCGAAATAAAATAGAATAGACCTAAACTGAAAGATACAAAACCAAATTTTACTAAGAAAAGGGTCTTAAGCCATACCTAATCAAATGCCCCAAAAGGCTCTAAACAATCCTCTTTATATCTTATCCTACTACCCTAGACTTTTTAGAATGTTCCTAGGTGGTGGATTCCACCTAGATAACTGCCGTAAGTTTTTTTCTAGAAGGTTCCATGATGGGCTCTACTTAAATAACTATCCTAAATTCTTTCTAAAATGTTCTATGGTAGATCCTACTTGATCTTCTAATTTAACCCCAATTTTAGAAACTTCCATGGTTATTACTATCTAAACAATTATCTTATCTATATCATGTTACAATATATATAGATGCAAGAGTGTAGCCTTCTTCACTTTTGTTAATACCTTTCTAGTGCTTAGTCTTATTTCAAGACTTTTTAATCTTCTTATCTTTGGTAATAGCCATTCTAATTCAATATATTACCATCTTTGAATGATTTCTTAGTCTTTTCAAGTAACACAAGAGTGTATTGAGGATTTCTTTCTTTGAGATTTATGTCCTTGACACTAACATTGTTTCATTAATGAAAACCTATAGTCTTTAAGAGAAAGTCCATAAAAGATAGTATTAATGGTGAAGCATAAAATCACCATATAATCTTCAATAGAATATAAATTTTATAGTTGGAGGTGCCTACAACTTCAACTTATTAATCAATATGACAACTTCTAAAAAAACCTCTACATTGAGTCGAAAATTGCTGCAATAGTGATCAATAAAGGAACATACACAATTTCTTATTATTAAAAGTAGAAAATTCTTATCTCTAAGGTAGTTAATTTGGTGCTTGTAGTCAATAGGGTTGACAACCTCTTTTTAATTTCAACTTAAACTCATATTTAACCTCTAATTGGTTGAATTGTTTTCATCAAAATTTTTGTTTTATTATAAAGTTTAGATAGAAAATAATAATGATTAAGTAATGCAATCAATCAAAAAACCAATTTATCTCTCTAATTTATCTCGTTGATTTATACCTCCCTTGATGTATTTTATAATAGATATAGAGAGAGAAAAAAAAAACAAAACAAAACAAAACAAACAAAGAAAAAGAGAGAGACAAAGAGAGCAAGAAATTTATAAATTGAAAATATATTGAGATATTTAGAAGTAACTTTTGGATTTTTTTTACTTTAGAACAAAAATTTGATAATGTGTTTTAAGTTTGAGATTCAAATGGATTTACCATAATTATGCAAATAATACATTAATTATTTATCAAATACTTAAAATGAAATACTTAGAAGAAATTTGATTTTGGTAGAATTATACCTAAGATGAATTTATCTGAAATATTTTATAAGAAAACACCATTTATCTAGCTAAAAAAAAATAAAAATAATACATATCTAACTTGTGATATGGTAGGCAAAGTATTTTTCTTTGTATTAAAACATAAAGTGATATAAAAGATTTTTCTAATAAGATTTTGGTTTTTTCCTATATTTTAGTATTTATTTAGTATTATTTTTAGGATTATTTTTATTTTAAATTTTTTTATTAATAGATATTCTTAAAAAAATTATAAGATAATTAAAATAAAAATATTTAAAAAATTACATAAATTATAGATTTTTTTTCAAAACCATCTAATAGAAAGAGAGTTTATTATTTTTTTTAATATGTACTTACTTTTTTCTTATGTCATAAATATAAAAATAATCTAAAATCATACTTATTATAAAAATAATTCTTAAATTATAATTCACTAATTTTTTGAGATTCAAATAATTTCTAAAAAAACTTTAATTCTTTTTATTTAACATGTATCATACTAATATAAATTAAAGAAACTATATTTAATATATTATTATTACTGAAATTATTATCGATAAAAAATATCTTATAAATATTCAGAATATTTTCTATTATTTTCTATTTATAGATTTATTCAATGATTTTTAATTTTTGTATGAAATATCATATAACAATATATTTTTTAGATGAATCATAAATATTTTTAAATAATAAAATTAACTTTAATCATTTAAAAGTCAAACTTAGAGTTTGGTTGAATTATTTTAGAACTAATATTTTTGAGAGAGTATCAAATCAACCTATCTAAATCTTAAATCTACCCACCTCATAACTTTGTGGTTTGAAACCACCCCAAGGCTTCTTTTGGCCAATCTCAAGTCTTCTAAAGTAGACAATCCATTTCCAATAATTTAAGCATTTTAACATATATCTAGTAGGTGTAAAAATGGAAAAAAAAAAAAAAAAAACTTCCACATAGAAAAATAGAAATCAAATTGATAATAAGTATTTTTACATAATTTTTCATTAAAATAGATTTTATATAAATATTTCAGCTAAAGATTCTTTTTAATCCATTTTGGACATATAGGCCTACCTATTTCCAAGTGGTGGTGGGTTAAAAAAATAAGAATCCAACTTTTATAAAATTATGATGTGTAGCAACTATTAATGCTACCAAGAGAAGTGTGGTACCTAATTATAATATTATTCTACTCCAACTAATCAAAAATTACCACCTATTAATAATTCATGCATATCTATTCCAAATATAATAAATTTTATTCATTGCTCACATCTTAATATTATTTTAATCAGTCCCAACTTATTTTTAGTCAATAAAATGTCAAACCTTATTGCCAGACTAATGGAATTAGATAAGCCTATATGTTAGAAATGGGGGGTGGTTGACAATAGATCAGCTATTTTATAGTAAAGGATTTTCTAGCAATATGATATTCTACTTGTGGAAAACCAATACCTAATATGTATTATTCATAGTGGCTAAGAAGAGCCTTGAGTGTTTGAGCCTTCAAATATTTGTGGTACCATCATAGAGGGTTGATTTAAGATTTAGATGGGTTGATTTAATATTCCCCTATTTTAAAACAAAACATGTTTTATACATTAAAAAAATTGGTTTTGATATTGACTATTATGTTTCCAATCAATATCCAATTACACAAAAAATGACATAAAATTCTTCTATCTATTGACATTGAATTAATACACAAAAAAGAATACAACATTTCTTTGAAAAATAATGACAATATCAATAATATTTTTGAAGACATTCATTTGCTTAATAATCTCTTACATTGAATACAAATTAATTCCATGTTATCTACAATCTGTTTGAGTGACAATTTCTAACTCAATTAGCTTCAATCTGGAAGCTCGGTTTGTGGGCGTTTCCAATAAAATCATGAGCAAGACAGAGTTTGGACACAAAAAAGAAAAAAAATCCTAAAAAGAATTACGCATCTTTGCTGCTATAGCTCAGCATGCGTGTTTGAGCACCTCCATGGCGAGGCACACAAAGACAGAGACAGAGAGAGCCCACCATTTCATGAAGCTTGAGAAGAACCAGGTCCAAGTTTCACCAGCATGCCAGAGGGTCCACCAAATGCCTTGACTCAGGCTTCAAAAGACACAAAAATATGGTGAGATCATGCCGACGCTTACCTCCAGATGACAAAGCCCATGGCAAGAGTACAGCAGCAAAACCTGCAAAGTTTCTTCCTCCAGTGCCTCCATCCTCGGATGTTGATATCAAAAAAAAAAAAAAAAAAAAAAAAAGGATTATTAATTAGAGTTTCGTTTGTGAAACTTTCGACCGAAATATTGCTACAAGGGATCCCTCGTGGAGAAATTAGCAACTCGTTTCAATCATTTCCTGAGCATATTCCAAGAATAGCAGTGAGCCCAGAAATAAAAGCAATTAAAATAGTTTGAGAGAAGGAGCCACTGCAGAGTTTTTGGTAGGTACGCATTCCAAACATCTGGAGGAAAATGAATAGAAAAGTAAAAAGCATGAGATGGGCTGGGAGCGAGATATGTAGTTCATATTTAATTGAACACCCACAGTTGGTAAGCAATTTTAAAAGAGGAACAGTAGATTAGTAGTCAAAAGCTGTAAATACAGGCTGTCTCTAACAGTGGCCAATTCAAAGTTCGTCTCCTTTTTCTGTCAGTTTCTACCGCAACATGAGACTCAATTATAAATAATAGAATTGCTACAATTGATTTGTCACAAGCAAACACTTCAAACCCATCTGAATGATCCTCTACACTAAAGTGATCTAGAATTCATTCGCTTCATGGCATCTGGAAGATGAATCCCACAGTTCAGCAAGTGCCGATTATGTCCCAGAACTTTCTCAAACGGCTGCTCAATCATTGCAGTCCATACTCAGGATTATGATTCTAACCAAGTATTGACAAGTTACTCGTTTCTGACCAAAATGCAGAACTTTCAAACTCATAAATCTACAGCTCCTAAACTCAAGATTTGTGACGAGGCCGATTTCTACACCTTCACAACCTTGCAAGTAACTCCCAACCTTCAACTTCTTTCAGCTTAACCCAAATCGATACACAGGGATTCTGTGACATCAAATGGATTGAAGCACACAACATCCAATGTACACAACAGTGTAACAATAGAGCTCAATACATACAACTGCACAGCCTACAATTGAACCCTGTCAACATCTGTACAGCAATTCAACCACCAACATTTCTTGCGCCAAACTGACTTCGCAATCAGCCAACTACAGCTGCAGAACACAATACATATCCATCGCTGGAGGCAGTTAGAAATGGATTTGCCGGCATTGAGTGGCTGAGATTTCCTGAGGACAATATGGGCATTTAAACGTCCGTGAATTGCTCTTAGCAAGCTTCTGAATGGACTGTTTGCAGAGGACATGGCCGCAGCGCATGAGCATCGGAGGATTGTCAGCTGTGCTCTGCTCCCGTGACACAGGACACGCAAACACGGAGTGGAAGTTGTATACATTGTCTAACTCAATTTCAATTGGCATTTGCTTCATTTCTGCCCACTCCTGCATCAGTCCCAGAACAATCAATCCTTCAGTTCCAAAACAACCTGTGTACCTTGAAAGACACAGTAAAAAGTGTACGAAACTTGAAAAACAAACAAAGAAGATAAGAATGAACAGAGATAGAAGGCAAAGAAAGCTATAACGTTACCTGTTTCTTTGAAGACATGACTGTGGCGAGCTTCAGCAGAGATGGGAGTGCTTGGGCACCTGCAGAAAGAGTGACCTGTAATGGACTTTCGTATGCCTGACCCAACAGGTGACAGCACTCCCTAGAGAATTGCAAGGCAACGGTATCCCAGTGAGATGGGGAAATAAGATCTTTGTAAGGAGAGCATTCCAATCGATTGGCCCACAAGAGACACGCCATCAGCCTCTGTATATCGGACATATGCTGCGCGGCAAAAATATTAAAGGACAGTTTCGCATACTCAAGAGCTTCCCGACGCCCTTTGGTTCTGAGCACGTGAACAAACTGTAGTTGATGCAATTGAAACTCCAACGAAGAGCCCTACAAGATTAAGCAGATGAGTAAGTCACTGACTACACGATTCTTGACCAATAAATTCAAGCAAGCCAACTGATCGCGAGGAAGAATTTAAGAAGACAAGAATCTGTCTGCGTACCTTGGCTTTCAGGGTCTGTCGATTCTTCCTTGCCCAATTCAATGCTGGCTCCAGGTTCTTGACATGAAGATGCACCAAATTGTGATACATTTCATACAGCGGGGCCTTCAACGAAGCTGCATCAGGCTCTTGAGCCTCATTCACCAAGCAGTCGCCTAGTTCAAATAACCCCAGCCGATAGAGATGCTGGGCTATGATCTGATTGATCAAGTGGATATCAAATTCAACATCTCTGTATGCTTTCACAATGTCTGGGTTGAAGACCTTGTCAAGGACTTTTCCGTATTTTGCCATTGTTGTATTGAGCTCCTTCTGCGCAGCTCCTACCTGGACTCAAATATGGGAAGAAATTGCACAAGAATTCTTGATCGCTACAAAAACAAATCATTCAGGCTGTGGAAACAATTGTTTAACAAGGAAGGTATTCGACACCCTGCACAAGCAAACTGGTTGATGCCAGATGTCACAGTATTAGTTTCAACATTTGAATGCTTACCTGGTTTGCGGGAGAAATTTCAGATAGTTTTTGTTGCAGCTTCATGAGTACTCCCTTTCGAGCTTGAGAAGAGCAACCCGCAATTCCATTGAGATGCTCTGCAGCTGCCTGGACTTCGTGAATTGTTAGGTCAATCGCGTCCTGTGTCTTCGTGTAGCACACCTTTTGCTTCTTGGATACACGATCAAATGCCTCTTGAACGGAGGTCAAATCCATTTTGTCTGTGCTGACTAGGTTTACAAGTTAGACGGAGGCTGAAACCCAAGAGAATTCTGGTCACCCTAGGAGGCCCTTAATTATCATATTTGCGCCCCATCAAAAGGATCTCCCTCGAAATTAAGCTAACTCTCCCAAATGCTCGAGCTCTTTCGGTTCAATACCCACGCTACCCCGAATGTAGATCCTCCGACAAAGCTCTCCTTCCTCCTGAAAGCCTAGAAATTGATGTTGAGAAGATGCAACTTACAATTAACATAAAGATCTCAACCTAATTATCGATTCCAACCAGCACCAAAAACGATACCAGGTACGCAACCCACATAGCCCTCCCCAGAGAACGGAAATTCACCAATTCATTCAGTACTTCCGGGGAACTTCATCACTCCAACAAAGAGCTGAAACATCGCACATGGCCATACCCGAAATACGAACTCAAAAAATGGCACCCCTTTCCACTCCCACCCACACCAGAGGCACATAGAACCCACATCTACCAATCTGCAACCTCCAAACTCTAAGATCCGTCTGCGCCCAATTACACTCCTAAAGATTACAGCACAAACTCTTCTTCACGAGTTTCCATTCCACTTCACAGAATTGAAGCAATTAGTGTAGTAAAAGGCGATTCGAGCACCACAGACATCGCCCAAGCAAAGACAGCTGAGAATGGCTCCCTGGAGACTAAATTTGCAACAAAGATGCTAATGAAAAGATATCAAGGCAATGGAGTCATTCAACACGAGGGAAAATCGGAGTCATATCCTGCTTCTTGTAATGTCTGCCTACATAAGGAAACATATGCATACTCTCTATGAGCCACCTTTTCAATACCAAATTGATGCCGCCGGCAAGGCACTCCATCTACTACGGCATCTATAAATAATTGCGCGGTCTCGGACGAGAGTGGACCAAGTGATTCGAGTTATTGGCCTTATGTCTCGAAACATCAGGCTTTGTGTATGGAGTTTTCATCTAGGACGTTCATCCAGTCCGTTCTCGGATTGTGAGGACGCCAACCTGCCAGAGGATTCATGAGACATTCGATCTATTTCTGAGAGGCTTGCATTCAAAGAAAGGAACCGCTCTCAATTTCAACTGATTCAACCAAGATTGCTGAGAGAAGGGTCTTTGAATTCTGTTTTCGCGGATCGACTGATGGCGATGAGGAGTTATTCATTTTTCTGCAATTTAGAAGACTGCCAGAATCGTCTGGCAAGTGGGGATGGGATGGATGTTACGCTTTGTTGAATCCTCTCAATTTGAACTAACGCAGTTGAAGTAGCTTTCAAGGATTTAATTGGTGAGGGATTTAAGAATTTTTGGAACCGTCAGTGACGAAGATTTGAAGCTATTGATGAATTCCATGGGATGCTTGAACTCACTCTGCTTTTGAGTTACAGCTTCGTTTTAGGGGTAGGGGGATTGAGGTGGAGGATGTGAAGTTGAACGGTAATTTTGTGCTGAAATTTTGGATTTCTTGGATTAATTATTGCTCTTCTAATTTTGATTTTTGTTTATTGTACTTAAGATTTGATGAAATGATGTGTTTGATCGGTTGCACTTTGAGATATTAGAAATAGTGTTATGGTGTGCAAGGAGAGCTGTGAGAATGGAAGTGAGAAATATGAGGTTGAAAATTAGAATTGCTGTGCAGCGCTGCCCAACACGCCACTGGAAACGATTCACTTATACCAGAATCTGTCGCCGTTTCCTCTCAGAATGGAGCCTCCTCTCAAGAAGGGCCAAGACGGTCCTTCTTTTCTTGCATGGAATGGCTCCCATTTACGATCTTCATGCACTGAGGTCATCCCTTTAGGATAAAGAGCAGTCGACTGCAAATCACTTGTGCATCATCCTAATCTTTGTCTCTTAGAATTTGCTCTCCAAAACACTGCATTGCGATTCTTTGTGACCTGTTTGCTCTAGTTTTTATTTCGTTTAATGCTCTTGCCTACACATGCCGCCGAAAAGTTCACCGAATATACTGACCTGGAGGGTAGACAAAGCCTGCCAGGGCTGATCCTGGTTCGAGCTTGGTCTTAGGTTTCTGCAGCATGCACTGCCCCATCGAACCTGCAAGTGAAGATGATTGGGAAACGCTAAACCTCAACACCGAGCATTGTGAAGAGCCCTTCACAACTAGGGTGGGTACTTCGACACCGCAGCTTATCCCTAGAGAATGTGGATCACTTTTTAAATGTGATGATCTTCTCTGTGGTCGTGAGTTGATGTTTACAACCTCTGGATTTGGATTTACAGAACATAATTTGATGACAGGACGCTCCAACTTTGTTATATAATTTGTGCTCTGCAGCAAGTGGGCAATTTTCTGTAGATAGTTTAAAATGTGTGCTCAGAATAGTTTTTAACCCCTTGTCAAACTGGAAGGAGAGTCCACACAGCCAAGCAGGGTATAGAGAAGAACCAATCGAAGTCCTCATATACCCACATTGTATATTGGTGCCTTTGAGTTCAAGCTCCGTTTACTGTTTGCTCACAAGTAGATAAACATAATCAGTGCAGTTGGCTTCGTTCATTGTACACAGCTTTTCGAGTGCCTTGCAAACTGGATCTGGGGATGGACATTGAGCGACTTCGCCTTTGCTTCGGAGCGCTCTACGACACAGCTAGTGGTCTCCGAAGAGGTGTGCCCGCCACAATTGTGTATGTGATTGTAGTGAGTGTGAGGTTTTCTTTGGAGATTTTCTCTTTGTTTTTGCTTCTTGTTTGACTTGCTCAATGAATGTGTATACTATATATAGGGGAATATTAGAAAGACCCACCCATTTATTGAATCCTCATACCCTATTATAACCATCATTAGATTACAAAAAATGCATAATCTCCAAAAACCATTATTAGAATCATTGCCCTCATCTTAACTCCCTTCATTTCCAATAGCTACTCCCTTCATTCCTAGGTCCCATTTTGACCTCCTTCATTCCCTTCCTTTCCAATCCATACTCCCTTCATTCCTAGGTTCCATTTTGACCTCCTTCATTCTCAACTCCAGCTCCGCTTCCTCTATTTCCAATCTATGTATTCATGTTTTTTTTGTACATTCAAAGACTAAAACAACTTGATCTACAAACTCTACAAGCTACTTGGAATTAGCCAACTTGTAGCTTCAATACAACTTGATTTACAAATTCTACAGGCTACTTGGGATTAGCCAACTTGTAGCTTCAATAGAGTAAGTGTGTATAGTGAATGACACATAATAGCAGCAAACAAGAACCTATTTGATTTTTTATCAAATGTGAAGGTAACACTAAAGCTAATTTTAGTTGTCAAATGTTATACAAGCACTACAGCTCTAGACAGAGATATAGCAAAGTCAATCTTTGGCATAACAAGTTTTTGCTAAAAAATCCAAGGGGCGATTGCCAAACTTAGATCTCATCTATATTATTAATATATTAGTTCAATAGAAGTGTTTGAATATTTATTTGGACAACATTACAAGTGTACAAGAATCAACTTTATTTTGTGGATTTAGTAGATTAAGTGAAAATCTAGACTACTTTGTAAAGAAAGTACATAGAAACTAGCGCTTTATTATGAATGATTTTTAATAAGTAATAATTTTTGCAACTTTTTGCACATCTTTTTTAAATCACATAAGCTTTGTATAGTATTGTTGGAGGCATCATCAACTCAATAAATGTATAATAAAGAATTAAGTTGAGAAGTAATATGCTATAATAATCTCCACAATCTTCAAAGGTTGGTTTATGCAAATACAATTTTCTTCTTCTATTGTATCTTTTAAGCTTTATTATTGATCTAGATAATAATATTCATAACAATAATATTTTTTGTACTTTTTCAAATGATTGGATAGTCAATTGGTACTTATGAGATATTTAGGGATTACTAAATTAATGCAATGACACTGAATATATTTGTTGATAATAATTTAGAAAATTTGAGTTATCAAATCAATTTATTTATCAAATATGGCAAGTTTTTATTCTTGAACTTCTTCTATTTTTATTCATTATAAAGAATAATAATAATAATAATAATAACCATCATCAAACCAAATTAGGTTATTGTAGAAATCTTCATTAGCAATACTATTCATTTTTAGTTCTAATGTTTCAACATTTTTGTATGTTCATCCTCTTGTGATTTACACTAGGCTAGTAGAGAGAGTCATGCGCTTGGTAAAAAAATTGCTAGAGAAGTTTCACCAATCATTTTTTTTTTTTTTTGTATTTTCTTTATAGTCCAAGCAAGTTTGTAATGGTGGGCCTATAGATTATTCATCTTAGCCTTTTTCTTATTACACTTTATCTTTTTAGGGCAACAACTTTCAATTCTACTTTAAATAAAGCATATAAAATTGATTCAATGTTGAACTTTCAAATTTTGAATCCACATTCTACCAATGCAAGCATTTCAAAAAACACTATGATTAAGGTTATCATAGAGTAAAAAAAAAAAAAATGCAAGTCAATTGCAACATTCAATTTTGGTTGTGAGTGTTGTCTAATTGTTGGCATTTGTTATTGTACTTTTACCATCTATAGTATTGTTGTTTGTGAATATACTAGAGACAAATTTAGCCTCTTCAACTACCAGTATTTCAACTTGTGGATTTACTTCAGCAAGCTTTAAAATGTTACTATGGATTAGAAGCAAAGGTTATGAACTTGAAGGGATTTAGGAATGGTAGAAACAAAAGATATTAGAATAAGAGCTAAGAATGGAAAGAACAAGGATTGTCAACAAGAGAAGTGAAGATGAAGATATGATTTTAATAATAGTTTTTGGAGATGGTCTATTTTTATAATGATGGTTATAATAAAATGGACTAATTTAATAAATGGATGGATTATTTTTATATATATATATATATATATATATATATATATTAAAACCACACTCCAATTTTATTAAATCCATACTCCTAATCCTACTAAATGATTCATTTTGTAACCATGTCCCTTATCCCCGACTCCCTTTCCATCTCACATCTCTTGTTATTTGTTCTTAGAAACCATCTCTACCTCTAATTCTACTCTAGGCCGACCTTACCTTCTCCATCTCTAACCTTGTCTCCAGCTCTATATCTACCTCAAGCCAATCCCACCCATGTCTCCACCTCCATGCCCACCCTACCTTCTCCATCTTCATCCCTGTCTCCATCCCCATGCCTACCCCAGACCAATCCAATTTATAATTTATCAATTAATTAATTAATTAATTTTTATGATTTTTTAAAATAGAATATAATTTTATTTTTGGTGTGGCTTTAACAAAGTTGGGATGTTTATTCTATACTTAAAGTAGTATAAATTTATATGGATTGAGTAGATTTATTGAAATTCTTATTTAAATGTTCTAAAGTAACAATTAAAATGAAATAAAAAAACAAATTTGATTATCTTTGAAACTTCAATTATTTAAATATATAAAATATATTCTTTATAAAATATTTTTTAAAATATATAATTTTTAAAGATATATCTTAATTAGTATTATTATTTAATTAAAATTAATAATATTTATTTATCTATTGCTATTAAATAATTTATATTGAATGAATTTTTGCAAAAACTCAAAAAAAAAAAAAAAAAAACTTAAAGCAACAAAGTAATAACATATACTTTTTATTATTTGTTACATGATTTATGAAATAAATGTATATTGAACAGTTTAAATATTTAAATAAATAATAGAAAAATAATAAAAATAATATCATAAAAAATAAAAAAATAAAAATTTGGCACAAAAGAATTGATATCGAATTCTAAATTTATATAGACTGGTAAAATCTAAATTAATTAGTAATTCTTTAAAATCTTATAATTCTTCTAAATATTTCATTTTAAATATTTTTTCTTCAAAATTCTTATCAAAATCTGATAGTAAAGATATTTTTTATTTTTACTTGCTTTGATATTGTAGATTCTTTTAATTTTTTACTATTTTATATAAATTTATGTTAACTCTTTATCTTTAATTAATTAAATTAAATTTCATTACATTATTTCTTATTAAATTTCTATAATAAAACTATTTAAGTTTCTAGATAGTATAACTTTTGTAAAAACATTTTTCATCTATATTTTTAGACTTTTTATAATCACTTTTAAAAATTGTCTAAAATGTGGAATTTTTACATAATTTATTCTAGAATTATTATAAGATTTTATGTATAAATATTTCTCTATATTTTATCATAGCTAGTAATTAAATGATTTTTTTAAAGAAAATTTGTCCTGTTTTTTGTGTTAAATTTTATAGATTTAAAGATCATACTTAAAACGATTAATTAACTATACTTTTTGTTATGGATAAATTATGATTTTTTTATTTTTATTTTTTTTCTTGTTATTGCTTAAGAAATACTACTATTATCAAGTATTACAAGGAATTCCAATAATAAATTTTTACAAAAACTAAGTTATTTTAAAAATATGTCAACTTACTTTAATACTTGCAAATCTTATAGAATTAATGCTTATAATGTTGTGGTAGAGTAATATTTATTGTTATAGAATTTTATGATTAAAATATTTCTTCTTTTAACAAGCAATGGTGCCAATATTTATTCTAAAAGTCTACATAAATATATAAAAACCAAATTTTTTAATCTTCATCTAAACTAGACAATTGAAATTATAATAATTTATGTATATTTATATATACATATATAGCATGAATAGAAATAATCATGATTTTTAGAAATATAGATAATAAAAAAACTAGTATAAACTTAAGTCATTTATTATAAAATTAGTTTTTGTAAATTTTAATAAAATTCTTGTTTAAAATATATCATTGAAAAGGTTAAATTAAAATTTTATCAAAACTGTTTATTTCAAAAAACAATTATTGAAAAATATAGTAATAGGTTTCTAAAAGCATACTTTTTCTTCTTAAAGCAACGATTATAACAAGAATTAATACTCTAGTATTATAAATAAAATAAAAATAAAAGATCACTTTTTAATTACCAATACAAAGAAATGTTAACCATCTAATATAATTTTTCAAAAATACTTAATTTTGATTTTTGTAACAAATATTTAACAAGAGAGAAGTTGATTCTTTGTTTAATTTTAATTTTAATTTTAATTTTTATCAAATTTAGGTATATTAAATATTATTCACATATCTCCTAATTTAATCAAGTTTTAATTATTTTTATTCTTAAAGAGAAATTAGTATTAATGAATATTTATATTTTCAGAATATTAATGAATATTTATATTTATATTTATATTTATCTTTACTCTGTACTGATAAAAATCAAAACTTATACAACCTAATCTTTTTTTGTGTTTTTCCAAGTATACAAAAAGAGTTTTGAAAATAAAACTTTTGATATCAAGCTGGTCATTTGAACCAAAAAATTATTAGTTTGAGTACTTTTCTCTCAAATAAATTTATTTGTTTATCTTTAAGAATTTCTTCCTTGGAATTTTTAGGCAGTTAAAAGACATCTACAACAACGTGTGGAGATTTATGAGTATATTCAAAGAAATCAGTAAATAAGTATTCAATGTAAAAAATAAATTAAAATGAAATGAAATAAAAGCTTGATAAAATAATACTATTTCCAATGCCTACTTTATTTAATTTTTACGTATTTATTTATCTATATTTATTGTGAAATAAAAAATAGATATTAATATGTCCTAAATTTTAAAAATATTTTTACAAATATTTAGGTACTATCTACTTCTTGATTTCTTCTAGTAAACAAATGCTTCTTGTAAACTTTTTATCAAAGAAGATGCTCCATTGCTATCTTGTCATTAGTTATTTGAAACATTTCCTGATATTTTTCTTTTCTTTTATTATTTTTTAAACATTTGTATTCACAAATTTTATTAATAAAGCTTTTTACACAAACATTTATCTATCTATCTATCTATCTATATATATATATATATATATATATAATGAGTAAAATATCAAAAATAGTATAAGCACGTCTTTTCCTTTTGCTCTGAATCGTTCAATACATTGCATGTAAAGAACCATTCAAATTTTCTTTCAATAAAAAGCCAAATGTCAAATATTTTAAGCGACCATATCTTTTGCTTTTTGCTTTTTCTTTATCTCCTCCGTCTTTTTTCGTTAGTCACGAAAGATGGCATAAATGGCTGACGTACCTTAACGTTTCCGCTCTTTCGTGCCGTGAACTCTGGCCCAACGTCCTTTTGCCGTGCTTTTTACTTTTAGAGGGGGGGCAGGATTGGCGGAGTGGGCAGGTTGTGAAAAGTTTCGAATGCGGTGCCCGCTCGAGGCGTAGGGTTGCTTGCAGTGAACTTGTTGGGAGGGAGGGGAGAGAGCTCTTGAGTGGACGTTCTGGGACGCAAAGGCCCCTCTGCCACCTTCGTTACGCATCCGCTGGCGTTCAACATGGGCGCACGATATCCCCTCGCGGACTACTCAACTGGGCACCGCCTGGTTTTTCACGATATTGTGCATCTAGCCTGCTTTACGGCGACGAAATTGGTACTTATTCGCGTAATCTGAGTCGGTTTGCAGAGCAACAGGGCTGCAGGATCGAGAGGTGGAGGGAGGGAGAGTTGTGACGAAGAATTTCAGTCTCGGTGTCATTGAGCTTTCGGAGAATTGAGGGGTGAGTTTTGAGATGGGTTGTGGTGGGAGGATGGCGATGGTGCTAGGACTGTTCCTTGTTTTGGTGCTGGCGATGGGGTGGGAGCAAGGGAACGTCGGGAGGGCAGATGCGATCATGGACTACGAAGCTCATGAATTGCATTCTGATGACGGAATGCTGGACGTGTTCCACCAATGGCTGGAGCGGCACTCTCGCGTGTACCACTCGCTCAGTGAGAAGCAGCGCCGGTTCCAGATTTTTAAGGACAACCTGCATTACATTCACAACCACAACAAGCAGGAGAAGAGCTACTGGCTGGGGTTGAACAAGTTCAGCGACCTCACCCATGACGAGTTTCGGGCTCTGTACCTGGGAATCAGACCTGCTGGCCGGGCTCACGGCCTCCGCAACGGGGACAGGTTCATTTATGAGGATGTTGTGGCAGAGGAAATGGTGGATTGGCGCAAGAAGGGCGCCGTGTCCGACGTCAAGGACCAAGGCTCATGCGGTAAACAACATACCCACGATGTACTTACGTTAGATTAATCAGCTTTAGGCTCTCCTTGTTTGCCCGAATTCTGTGCAGATCGTGATTTTTCCCATGCAGAATATTCTTTACATGAGGCATGCTTTTGTTTGCAGCATTGCCTGAAGCTCCAGGGTTTGGGGTTTCGGCAGTTAAGGAAACAACGTGGGATTTGAAGCATTGGTGTTTCATGGCTTTTCTTTGCTGCTTGTAATTGTGTCGGTCGATTTTCTTTGCGACGATTCATAATTGTCTTGTGGTTTTGTCGTGACTCGTCATTGTGGTTGATGGGCAAGAGTGTGGCTTCGGTCTGGAGCTATTTAGCTGAGTCTTACATCGTGCGGGCACGTTTGAATTGGACAGGTAGTTGCTGGGCGTTTTCGGCAATTGGTTCGGTGGAAGGAGTGAACGCAATTGTGACTGGCGAATTGATTTCTCTGTCCGAGCAGGAGCTTGTGGATTGCGACAGAGGTCAGAACCAGGGATGCAATGGTGGTCTTATGGATTATGCGTTTGATTTCATCATCAAAAATGGTGGAATCGATACCGAGGAGGACTACCCCTACAAGGCAACTGATGGCCAATGTGATGAGGCCAGGGTAAACTCTAATGTTTTGATTTTCTCCATTTGAATTACTACGTTATGTTTTACAAAATTTCAACGGTGATTAGTTTATCATGTGAGGTATGGCATTTTGTTCGCAGATTTAGCCAGAATTTGGCATTCATTTGCATCTTGGTGTTGTTCGATTTCTCTCAGAATCTTATTAGTGACGATTCTCTCTTGCAGAAAGAAACCTCCAAGGTAGTGGTCATCGATGACTACCAGGACGTGCCAACAAAATCAGAGAGTTCACTTCTCAAGGCAGTCTCGAAAAATCCTGTCAGTGTTGCCATTGAGGCTGGAGGTCGCGACTTTCAGCATTATCAAGGGGTGCGTCATTCGAGAATCTTCTAATCTACTCCATCAACCATCTTGCTTACGTGCAAACCTGTTTGAATCCCCATCAGTTATGTAGTGCCATTTGCAGTAGCATAATTTCAAATCTGGTTAGTCTGGTTGCTAATCGTAGTCTGATTCTTTTTCTTCCATTTGGTAAACAGGGAGTCTTCACAGGTCCTTGCGGTACTGACCTTGATCACGGAGTCTTGGCTGTCGGCTACGGCACTGACGACGACGGCGTAAATTATTGGATCGTTAAGAATTCATGGGGTCCAAGCTGGGGAGAGAAGGGCTATATCCGCATGGAGCGAATGGGATCCAATTCCACTAGTGGTAAATGTGGCATCAACATTGAGCCATCCTTCCCAATCAAGAAGGGGGCTAACCCTCCTCCTGCGCCTCCTTCCCCTCCTACTCCTGTGAAGCCACCCTCCCAGTGCGACAGCTCCCACTCCTGCCCCGCGTCCAGCACCTGCTGCTGCGCATTTAACATTGGCAAGTACTGCCTCCAGTGGGGTTGCTGCCCTATGGAATCTGCCACTTGCTGCGAGGACCACTACCACTGCTGCCCCTCGGATTTCCCCGTCTGTAACTTGCGCGCTGGACAATGTGTCAAGGCAATATACTCTTCACTTTTTGCACACGATTGGAATGGGCAATTAGAAAGCCTAGTTGGTGAAACCCCGGTTCCTACGCTTTGCTTGGGGGCTTTCTTGGGATTGTTTACGTCCTATGCAAGTTTTTTATAGGTTTTGAGGGAGTTTCTTACCATTGGGGAGAGGTTAGGATGTATGAAAAATATCATGGAAGGTTCTGATTGCTCTCATCTTTTGCAGAGCAAGAACAACCCATTTGGTGTGCCAATGCTGGAGCGAACGCGTGCCAAGTTCAACTGGCCAAAGGTCAGTGATGATTCTGAGAAGGGGAGGGCTTCTTTCTAAGGGAGCTTTTTATTTTTATTTTTTAGTTTAGGGTGCGGGCCCTGTTGGTCCAAGAAGGATATTATTGATTTTCTTACCCATCGGCAACCATTCTTTCATTCATTCATAAGTAGAAACCTTGAGCTTCAGATTGTAGTGGAGATGGGTGCTCCCCTGTGGGAAATGTCTTCCAGATATGACCAGTGCGTATCGTAAGGAGAATGCTCAAGTATATTATTAATTGTTTGCGCTATCCCAGTCATGAGGAAGTCAATTGTAATAGCTACCTTAATGAAGGATAAGTGGAACTTTTCTAGTATGTTTAAGAAGACATTACATGTTTTTGTAATATAATTTTATGGAGTGATGTGATTATTATCTTATTGCCCATGTTACTAAGAATTTTTAGTTATGTTGTTTCCAAATTTTGGATTTTTTTGACATTGACAATCATATAAATAGCCAAGTTTAGTAGTCAGCTGGTATTTTCACTGCATTATTCATAATAACAAAAATAGCTAATAAAATCATATATCCATAAAAAGATTATATGTAAGTAAATACTAATAATATATTGAACTTTAGTTTTTTGAATAAAAAAAACATATCGTTATAAATTACTTTTATATTCAATAAAAAATAAAAAAATAATAAAAATAATGTCAATAATGTAAAAATCAATTAAAAAAAATACTATAAAAAAATTAAATATGGATAAAAATTTAAGTTAAATTAGAGCTTAATTAGAAGACACATGCATGCCAAAAAAAATACTATTTCAAACCATAGTAACAAAAAAAAAGATTTTTTTAATCGAAATTCATTATTTTAAACAACACTACCTACAGTTATAAAATGAAAGAATCCAATCAAAACCAATAAAAAGTATAAATAAATTAGTGATTAGTGTTAATACTACTACCAATTCCAACATTATACTTTTAAAACCCAAGCATATAAACTGATGAATATTCAATCTTACTATGAATAGGTCCTTCAAACATGTAAACCAAATATTCTCAATGTTAAATTCTAATGCCTTTTGAGTGCTCACTTTCTATGATTACTTTCTCAGCATATCAATCTGCACTTCCTTCCCAACAAGTTCACCGTATTTTGACAGTTATCTCAAAACGATCCTGATTCTTAATAATAATTTATTCGATATTTAATAAAAATATTTTTAATATATATATATATATATACACACACACACTAAAATTTTGAATACGTACACATAGGGAGATTGGTTTTGGAATAGACATGTTCCTTGATATCTAAGAAGTGAAGTATCTGATGAGCGTCACCTAGACGATTAAAGGAGCAGGTTATTGCTTAAGTGGGTTTCTGTCAATGAATCCAAAACTTGGCAGCCTTAGTAAAGATAGAATTAATACAGACAGACAGACATAGACAGACCTCAAGTAAGCAAGCGAGTAAGCATGAAACACACAGCATCATGGTGCAAAAACAACATCCAAAGCCCTAAAAAAACCAGTTTGCACATCACCGCGGCAGCCAAGCACGTTGGTATCAGACAAAAAAAGAGCTCGTCATTTGCATGTCAAGTATGATTTCGGTACCGCGCCCCAACAGTGCGCACATCGTGTTTTCTGAAGCACAGTTGGGAATGATCGAAGCGAAGCTCATCATCCTGCCGAGGAAATTGAAGAATTGCGACATCTCTGCCCTCCGCTGCCGGAGGTGGACACCTTCACCTTCTCAAGATGTATGTAGCCAAATTTACAGATTCATGCAGCTTTGCTGCGCTACTCTCTAGCTAGCCCCCTTAACTGTCACTAGTTTTATATCAGTGACTTGTGTGTGTGTGTGTGTACAATCTACAAAGGGGGAGCGTTATCTCTACATGGAATTCTACGGTGCGGCGGTCAAAAATGGTATCGAGAGTGCTGCACTGACGACATGTGGACGATGAGATCCACCACGCGGTGACTGCAGCACATATCCAAACAAAGGAAACAACGTCAGAGTGAGCTGAAACATTGCAATGTTCAAGAGGCTGGAGACATGGCGCGAAGCGATTTTAGAAGAGGAAGAGTGGAGGTGGGAGATGGATGATACCTGTAGCCCCACTCGTTGTCATACCACGCGACGAGCTTCACAAAATTGTCGGCCATGGCGAACCCAGCTTTAGCATCGAAGATGCCGGACCGGCTGTCACCCACGAACTCACTAGAGACAGGATCGTCGTCGCTGTAGCCCAAGATGTCCTTCATCTTCCCCTCGGCCTCCTCCCTGATCGCGGCACAAATCTCTTCGTATGGAACTCGCCTGTAGAACCTGACGGTCAAGTCCACGAGGGACGCGTCTGGAGTGGGAATCCGAAATGCTTGGCTGCGGATCTTGCCGTTCAAGGTGGGTATGAGGCGGCCGATTGCCTTGGACGCTGTCGTAGAGCTTGGGATGAGATTGAAACCCGCCACGGCTCCGCTGCGCCAGTCCTTCAACGAGGGGCCCTCCAACGATTTCGTGATGGCAGTGAGAGAGTGCACAGTGGTCATTTGAGCTTCTGCCACCCCGAATCTGTCGTGAAGTACCTTCATGAGGGGGATCATGCAGTTGGTTGTGCAACCGGCCATGGATACGACATTGTGCTCGGGTCTATAGTCGCGCTCGTTCACTCCCACGATGAACGTCGGCGCGTCTTTGCTGTAACCCGTAATAATCACTTTCTTCGCTCCGCCCTTTAAATGCGCTGCTGCGCGGTCTTTGTCGGTGTAGTTCCCCGTGCACTCCACGACGTAGTCTACTCGGTGCTTGCCCCACGGGATCTTAGCAAGATCTCTGTTAATCAGAAAAAAGAAGTTCTCGAGTTAGCATCAATCTCCGGTTGACAACGCGCAATTATGATGCCGATGACAACGCGACTTTCACTATCACCTTAGCAATGGAGCATGATCCGGGACTCACTTCTGTCCGTAGACGGCAACCTTCTTGCCGGCGAAAGAAACTGTGTGCGCGTCCTGAGCATAGATGTCGGCCATGGCACACTTCTGGCCGTGAACTGAATCGTATGCAAACATGTACGCCTGCGTTTCAGAGAACTCGAACTGATCAGCATAAACAGATTATCAGCCACCTTGAGTGTCCATGCAACACTGACTCAATCGCAGGTGCAAAAAACACAAGCAAGATTACGCAGTGCTGGAATCACGAACCATGTAGTCTGTGCTGATGAAAGGATCATTGACAACGACCAGTTCGATGTCGTCTCTCTCGAGGGCCACTCTCGCAACCAAGCGACCAAAGCGACCAAAGCCATTGATCCCAATACGAACTTTTTCCAATCTCCCAGCTGTCTGCGAAACTTTAACAGCGGTGCCTGCACCTGCTCAAGCAGAAGCCACACATCCAATTAGACTCAACAATCACTCTTGCAATTTCCTTGTAGCTGGGCACCTTATCTTCATTTTTATTTATATCTATCGTCAAAAAACAACCTGCTCCCCCGAAGGCGGCCAGACATCGGAAGACCAATGACACCAAAAGCCTAAAGCTGGACTAGGTGTGTTCCACTCCAATTCCGACATTCAAAACGGATTATTCAAGAAAATCGGACCTGCGATAGGAATATTAGATTGAAACTGTGAAGGAGATTACCTCTTCCCATCTTCAGCGTCCTGAAGGATCCACTTTGTCTCCAAAAATTGGAAACTCCACTTTGTTTGCCTTCAATTCCCAACACTATAAAGCTAGGCTCTGCGAACACGAGCAACAAGCAGCACTGGTTTAAAGCGTGCTGAACTCGCGAGTACTTCTTTGATAGTGTTCGCCGGCTAATGTAGCCGGCTAAATGGACATAACCACTCTCTGATCACGCACTTCTGGACCTGGAGATACAATTTAGAAGCCCATCAGGAAACGCCGTTGCCAGCGAGTCCAGCAAAAAATCTACCAGCGATGCAAATTGAAAGACTTCCCAAACTTTCCACAATCGTGTGAACCAATCTCTAAAATCACTGAATCATGTCAACCTGAAACACTCAGAAATATCGATCAACCTTTTTGGTGCGCTGGATTCGTAGCCTCCAGTACCCTGTGAACTGAAGCGACAAGGGCAACGAAGACAAGCGAAGTTCCACGGAGACGCGTGAATCTCACCTCGACAAACCACGAATCGTCTCGCAGCCACCCCTCGTAACGGCACCTCATACCCAGGTCGAGCTTTTTTGGACCAGACAAAACAAATACGACAACACTAGTTGGCGCTTCTCTTGAAACTTATTTAATCAGAAACATGCAAAAGATTGCCTGAGAGATCGCGCAGCCTTGTAGGATATTGCTTAGAAAACTGAATGACCACTGTAGATAGGTGCTTCGAAATGTTACGCAAAAAGACCACCGTGAGCAGGCAGTCTTATATGGCATCTGGTTCCCCGAACATGAGGCTCGGGAAAGGCCTGCTGGTGGCAGTTGCCGAGGTCATTTCAGCCCTGCGACGATCTGGAATCGCTGGGACTAGCTTGGCAATCATCGTCTGCCACGAAATTAGAAAGGTGCACGACCATCCAGCTGCAAATTTGGGCGGCAAGCGACACTCTCCCTGGGTGGATCTGGTCAGACAGGCCGCGGTGAAAACCCGCCTCCTTGTTAATGAGGCTCCCTGACATAGTTCCAAAGCCAGCAATCTCGCCCAGCCGGATGAAGGAGGGTGCGAAAAATCTGCTTCTCCAATCGGGGAATCCTTGCTCATTCAAAGGCATCTCTCAGCTCGTTTGGGAGCTTGAAAGAAAGAAAGGGAAACAAAAAATTAATAAAAAATGATAAGTAACACACTCCAGAGTACTCTTATTTTCAATACTTTTCATAAGAATTTCATCTGCATGGAACGTTTCCTATTGTCACGCTGTTGACAAATGAAACTTTCATGTGCACGGTCTATTTTAGTACATTTTGAAGCTTTCTGTTTACTTCTGACAAGAAGTTTTCACGCTCATAAAGGTGGACTGACGAGTCGTGGATTCCATTTCGATTCGGTTCGTTTATTTAAAGCAGTTTTGGATCCAAGAAAATCTGGTTTCCAAGTTAATTCCCGTCGTTCTATTGGGGATTCTTCGGTGGGCACTTTTTTCCTTTCCTTTTCCCTTTTATCCTTTTCTTTGATATTATCTTACTACGGTAAAGCAAATTTGAGTGCACAACTAGCAGATGCAACGCCATCGTCAGCAGGTCATAAAGTGTCTGTCACAGATACAAACTCCAGACTTGTTTCTCCGTATGATACAAGACAAAGTGAAGGCTAGAGTCATGAGCGAGAGAGAGAAAGAAAGGGAGATCACTCCTGAGCTCTCTCAAGTGAACATTCTGCTAAGCTCCAACAGTGAGTAAGAAAACTGTGCCGCGGTGAATATCAAGGCCCCACTTACTCAACATCACCGAAATGGGCACCTTTCAGTCTCGTCAAAGGCTAGGCGAAGCCGGGGCCACAACAAGAGCCCGTAAACCCAATAGTGAGGACCAGGGAGAGGGAGGAGCAGGAGCAGCGCGGCGATGAAGTAGGATGCGAATGCCAACACGCTCGTCGAACCAGGAATCGAACCAAGCGGCTGGGAGCGTGAACAAGCAAGCAAAGCAGCACGGCGCGGAAGGATGTGGTCAGAGCCCGTAGTGGCAGTTCATGCATCAGAGTGCATGAGCTTAGAATTGCACGAACCCAGGACCACGACGACGACGACGACAGACGGACTGGTTCCTAACGGCTCTGGAGCTGGCAGTCTGGATCGCCCAGTCTCATCGCTGGCATTGATCTCCGGGACAATGGAAGCCTAGACGTATGAGGTGGATGCCTAGCACTAGATCCATTGACAAGTCTTGGAAGTGAAAATAAGCTTCCAAATCTCGGGCTCGAACGAAAGCTCGGCCCTAGAGGGCGGTGAAAGCAGCGTCTGCTTTCTAGATACCATGATAGAGGTTTATTTTCAGTAGTTTTTCAATTGGGAGGAAATGGTGTTTTGCAACGGGTACTCCTGCAAAATCAAACAAGAAAACTTGAACAAGCAAATAAATTTCTGTTTTGAAGTTTTATTATCTTTTATTTTTGTTTTGGTTGAGGGATTAGTGGTAGTAGTAGTAGTAGTGACAATTCAACTCATGGCATTTCCGGTAATTTGTTGAGAAAATGCAATATTTGTTTAGCGACTGGGGTCATCGGACACAACTGCACATTTTTGTCGATTTTTGGCAACTTCGTCTAAATTCCTTAAAGAAGCGATGAGGAAAGTACAACTACCAACAAGTTAAACCAATTTGCTGTAGATGAGTGTCATCAATCTAAGTTCAATAAACTAGCTAACAATCACATCGTGCTCAAAAGCTTGAAGAGGAAAGTGGTGTGTAAAAGGCAAGTTGGGTGTATGAAGATAGACAAGAACTCCACTCTTTCGGCAGCTTACGTGACCAGGATGCGATTTCTCTTCGTGTTGGATTCGTAATCGGGCAGGGAGAAAACTCTTCGCTGATCTACGGATCTCTCAATTGATCAACCGAACAATCAATGGCGTAACACCTGGCTCTTTCTCCGCATCCGAGCGTACGACGAAAACGTGGAGGATTCACCCAAAAGATTTTGTGAAGCACGACAGGAGCATCTGCATCAGGTAGTTCCAACGAAGAGTTTTCTCCCTGCCCGAGTCCGCACCAGCAGATCAATTCATTCGGGCCCTGTGTGAGGAAGTGACGACGATTGAGGACGAGGAATCCGTGTCCTGAGCTGTGTTCTCGACACCTTCCTCCCCAGTTGCTAGAAGACTCACTAGATGATAGAATCTACGAAGCCGTGGACCGCATCTAGAATGAAATGAAATGAAAAAAAAAAAAAAACAAAAAAACAAAAAAAAGAAGAGAGCAACAGGACTATCTCCGTGAATGGGAAATCCGGCCCGCAAGCTTATCAAGAAAGAGTCCGGCGAGGTCGTGTCGATTTGGCGAGGGTGTGGGAGTGGGAACGGATGCTAGCGTGGGCTTCGAAGTGCTTGCGACGCGACGAACGCATCCGTGGTTCCAGGTTCCAGGTTGCGGGCCTCTTAATCAGGGCATCCCTGTCTCTGGGGATGGTGATCCGCTGCTGCAGGCTCAGCATGGATGGATCTGCTTGTATCGATCGCCGCATCCACTCTCCCTTCACTTCGCCCATTTCTATCTTCTCTTCGCCGTGAGCTAAAGCCCTCTTGCGCTGTTGCCGCGGCGGCACCTTCCGACAACTGCCACACAGTAAAGTGAAAACACTAGACATACATACACACACACTCCCTCTCTCCCTTCACCCATTCCTATATTCTTCATATTATATATATATATATATATATATAGTTTTATAATTACTATATGTGAATTGACACATTGACTTGACTGGGGTTTTTACTTGATTAATTGGGTTCTGATCACAGTATCTTGTTGTGTACCACATAATTTCAACACATAATCTTTTGTGTTGAAGAAGAACAAAAACATGTTCATATTTATTATTGATATGTGTTACAACTAGTTGAAGTGTTAAAACTAAGTTAGCATGTCACATTCATAAATTGGTATGTGTACACAGTAAGATAATGTGACCAAAACCCAATCAACAAAGTAAAAACCCCAGTCAATGTATCAATTCCCTCAATACATATTGTTTTTATATTGGTTGCTGACTACAAGTGGGATGATTTTGACGGACACACACTTCTCATTTACAAAATAAGAAACATTTTCTGTTTTATATGTTGCCCGCAGAATTGTGCTTTAAGAGATCACACTTTGCAACACAATACACTGCTACTATTACACATCACTTGATTGATTGTTTGATTGATTGATTAATTGATTGATTGATTTGTTGGTACAAAACAAGCTCTGTCAGGAGTAAATAAAGTATGTGCTGATTTGGGTAAGTTTCCTTTTTAAATTTAAATTTTTTATTTTTAATTAAGTCCATGGAGATGCATATTTTTTAGTGGGAGGATATTCTACTTATGACATAGTCTCCCATGTTCTTGATATTAACTTGGAAGTAGGGTTCATTGTCTAGTTGCTACATTTGATTTCTTGTTTTTTTTTTTTTTTTTTTTTTTTTCCTTTCCTTTCATGGGATTCTTGTTTTTTCTCAATGCATAATATCTTGCACATGGGTGGTGATATGAACGAGGATGTTGTTATTGTTGGTATTGTTAATGGCAGATTGATAAGATTAGTGCATAGGTATGGGCTTCAGTGGAGTGGGTGGAGGTTCCATGCCATGGGACACTGGGTCACCATTACCAATGAGTGTACATACCCTCTTCTTCTGTTTTCCATAGAGAGATGTGGGGTTTTTTTTCATGGTGGGTGGAGAAAATGATACAAGTCTTGTGGTCATGGTCAAGATATTTTCCCCTTTTGTGCAAATATCTTATTGATTGAAATTTAATATGTATTTTTTGAGATAGTTGTACAATTGTTTAATGCCATTTGCATGTGCTCTCTCTTGAAATGAATGTTAAACATATCTTTCCTTTTTTTTTGTAGTTCCAGCTATATTTTTTACAATATTACTTCAAAAAAATAAAAAAAAATAAAAAAACAGAAAAAAATTATTTTTATACATTGGCAAGAATCGAAGAGGTAATTTTTTTTTACAATTAAAACATTACATTAATAATAATAAATCATATATTGTAAAATTTTGGCTTAAAGTTGAATTTACTTGTTTACAATCATACAATTGTCAAAAGCAATTCTGGTGAAAGCATCAATGTATGATGGTAAAAATATACATTTGAAACAACATTTGAATATTTTAGTTTTTATCTTCCTAAGACGTGCTTGGAAAAATAAATATAATAATAATAATAATAATAAGATACCAGATTTTTGAGATGTTTCAAGAAGACCTCTATTTGCACTAAAATTCTGATTTTATAATGAATTAATGCATATACATATCATATATATGTATATATGTACACATGTACATAGTGCATTAAGTAAGGACTTCTACAAATAGTTTACAGGCCTGATTTAAATGCACATTTGTGGAAAATTAAAATTTACTCTTCCCAAAACAAATCACAGTCAAGCTTTTAAAAATCATACACAGAACATGCTAAAATAACACACACACACACAAACTATCAAACACACAAACAGAAAAGATTTTTTCTTTGTTTAAAGACTATCAAACAAAAAGTCAATATTGCAATCATTGGAGATTTAGGAATCACTTAAAATGATTTCAAAATTCAATACTCCCAAAATAACCCAAAAATTAAAAAAATAAGAATTGTTAAGTTGATAAGGCTTAATACAAAGGGTCTTCAAAGAAGGCACAATCTCTCTCTCTCTCTCTCTCTCTCTCACACACACACACACACACACAAATGATTCAAGTTTCCACAAGTTTTGAAGGTACCAAAAATAAAATCTAAAGGTTCAATTACTTGTTCCACCTAATATGGAGAGATAATTGAGATTCTATAAAGCCTTAGAAGAAGTGGGGCCCAAACCATGAGGATTAGCCACTTCTAAATAAAAGAGAGACTAAGCATCTCAAAAAGAATTTTTTCCAACACATTTCAATGTAAGATATTTTTCTACCCTTTGTTGACTTCTTTTCTTTTGAATGTCATCTCTTGCTTAGCCAAAATAGATTCAAACTATATTGATTGCTTTAGAAGAAGATATCTGCAAGCATGTAAATAAATAAACACACATATAAAATACATATTATGCATAGTATTGTATAATGTCACTCTAAAATCTTCAATGAACAACTATTAATTTGATTTTAAGTTAAACCATGAATTATGAAATGTGTAACTAGAACCTGAATGTGATTATGTGATTGATAAGAGAGACAGGGCTACATGTAATTATTGTTTAATTGAAGATAAAAAAATGCCAATACCTATATATATATATATATATATATATATATATGTTTATTTATTTATATGTATTTGTATGTATAAATACATATATAGTTTCATAATCAAGCTTCATTTATATTAAAAGAATAATAAACATGATCATTAAAAATATTTTATTCATGTGTATGGATGTATTTACAACATACCTGTGTATTTGTATAATTAACATGAAATAAATTAGTTTGGTGACGAGGAAACTTAATAAATTACATTTTAGATTGAGGTCCACTTACAAAACTTGCACAACGATCAGATAAAGGGCAAATATTTTAATATCATCTACTTGAATGATAAATGTTAATAAGAAACATGAAGCCTAGCATGCACAAAAGCCAGCCCTCCACAGATGGTAATAACCTTTGTGAGGCACAGATCATAAAAATAAATGCTGCATGACAAGGATTGGTTCAACATTGGAAATGGATATCCAGCCATGCCTTGTCAGCTGCATTTTCTGTGCAAGACTTGGTGGATGCAATGTAACCAACAGATTACCAATATTTCAGGGCTCATGGGACAGCTCTCTCTCTCAAGGACTGCATGAAATCACTGGGGAAAAGGGGAAGCAAGAGACATGAAGAAGAGGACATAGTCAGAGAAAATGAAAACAGAGAGATCCACCCCAGCCCTGGCAAGTGGATCGCCTGCACTGGTTCATTTTCTTTATGTTCTCCATTAAAATAATAATAGTAATAATAATAATAATAATAAATGTGTGCACTCACATATTCATACATACTTACACACACCACACACAATTATATATATATATATATATTTATTGGTGGTTTTGTAAAGCATGATGAGCCATCTGGTTGAAAGAAGAAACCTGCATGGGCAGCTTACAAAAGTGAGATTCTGGAAGAGGATGAGGTAGAACAAAGGAGGACCGTGGAGCGAAGGGAATGTGACAAGGAATCAAATATGTGTTTTGGTCCTTACTCTTCCATTGACAGTTACAATTCTAGCTTTACATTGAATTCGCTTGAATTTGGTTAACTGTAGCCTTTCACACTTCTGCAATCAATCACTCGCTCATAAAGTTTTATTGGAGAAAACAAACAAACAAAAAAAAAAAAAACAAAACAAAACAAAGAACGTAGTGTTGGGTGCACTTTCTAAGAAGCTTCAGAGAATGCAGCAGGCAGCTTCAAATGGTGATGAGTGAGACTGCAGGCGTTGGTCGCAGGTTTGGAGCTCCCAGTGGCAAGAGGGCAGGAATCACCCACAATCTGCGCAGGAATTCATGGGGCCGGCCAAAGCTCCATTCATGAGCCAGAGGGGCATACAATACTGCCCAGATAAGTACAAGGTGAAAAGGAAAAAACTTGAACAACGTGCCAGATGAATGAATGCTTCGAAAGTGGAGGGTTACCGAAAGGGAGCCATCAATGGAGGTCAGGAATTCTCTCCCGGTTTCCATCCTGGTTTCACCCATTCCGTCACAAAAATGGGAACAAGTAGTAGACAATTTGCTCACTTGATGAATCAGGTCGTGAGCGCAACCAGGATGATTGCACATGAGTCGGTGGGGCCGAGACCATGGAGAGGGCCCCAAAAAGCACTGGCATGGGAAGAGAGGGACCTATTCTTGGTTGAGTGAACCGCATCTCCCCCAAGTCCTTGGTTTAAATTAGTATTCCACCTTTCGATAGGACCAGTTCAAGCCGTTGCTTTAGATGTACCCTGAGCAGCAACCATGTTCAGGGATCAAACTCTGCAACGCGATTCGCCCGACCACTACACCTCTATGAAAAGTATTCTAATTTTGGAGTAGGAATTCCACATCTGAGCCGGAAGTCGAGTCTCAACAGTTCCATGCATGTTCTCTAGGTCTCATGTTCGTTGTGGAAGTTGCCATGTGGAAAAATGGCGTACGGCCCATACCCAGTCAGTCCCTGAAACGGGGTCGTTCACAACAAATTCCTTTCGGCTAAGATGAGTTGGCTAGGGGGCATTGGTGCGCAGCGTCTTCAACCTCAACCTTCACGGCAACGCAAAGCATTTTGATCTCTTCGTGGTGAATGTACAACCTGCGAAGTAATTGGCGTCCTAGAAGTCGCCCTACCGCCAACGCGAGATTGATTGATAGCCCGGCCGCAAGACCTACCCCCACGTTATTCAACGATGAGTTAGGCTGCGCATAGAGGTCTGCGAAGTCTCTCAGATCTGATAAACCAAAAGAGTAAACTAGGTAGATTTGATAGAGCAAATGTGGTATAGTTACATTTCTTTTGTTGGCATTCAAATGATCCTAGAGTTCATAATATTGCAATGATCGTTACAGGAGCATTTTCAGATTGTCCATGTTGATTGGTACATGAAAAGAGGATAAGCTCCCAGAAAGATAGGTCCTCGATAATTTGAAGTATACACCAGGGAGAAAATGGAAGGTGAACTTAGATTCAAATGCGTGATTGCGTACCTACTGTACTCGACGTTCTTAATAGCAGTGGTTAAAAGCTCTTCACAGAACTATTGTGATGCTCGCAACCTCCAACAAATGTAGCAACCACCAATCATGCAGAGCACAGTCGTGCTGTACAACGCATGACCTCGAAGTCTCTGGTCAACAGTGGTAACAGCATTGTGCTATCCATTTTGACCAGCTATTCCATCGACAGTAATAGTAAGCTAATCATGGTAAACTACAAATATTCTAAGTGGCGCTCTTTGAAACCCCCGAGTCGATGCAACACATTCAGAGGAAGAAAAAGGTGGATTCTCTACAGTGCAGACATGAGAAGCATACAGTAGCTCATTTGGAAACCATATCGATTCTGACTCTCCAGTTGGTGGAATCAAGGGTACGTACAGTTAGAGTTCTGGTCAAGTTCACCACAGCTACACTGATCGTTGTGAAGCGGTGTAAGGTGTTAGCAGCAACAGAAGTCAGTCTCTACATGAAAGTGTTCAACTGTTTCAGCAGGGCACTGAAAAAAAAGGAAGCCTACCATCCATGCCAGAGGTTTTGAGAGAAGTAGATGTATAATCTCTGCATCATCTCATAATCTAAGTGAACGAGCTCCGTCATACACCAAACCGATCTCAAGGCTGTCTGTGGGGTGAAATATGCTGAAGATTTTCTCAAAAACTCACTACGTTGAAGGTCTATGAGTTTGGCATCCTCTTGGAAACAAATCTCACTTTGGATTCTGTTGCTCATGTCCATATGGTAAGAAATTCTGTGTTTACAACACAAACAATTACCACAGATCATGGTGTGTGTGTATGTGTGTATGTAGGTGTGGGTACGCGAGCGCACGTATTCTATTCAGGAAGAAAAGAAGCTAAGAGTCGGGCAAATTTGAAGTTGATCCGTCTTCACTACCCTGCACATCATCATCATCATCTTGGAAAGCATCCGGAACAACCTCCTTGTGGAAAACGTCTGGATATTCAAAACGAATGTCTACCATGCGGAAATTGCCCTCTTCTTCCTCATAGTCGAATGACCTGAGCTCTGTATTCACAAGCTCATGACTAAACTCCTGGTATTGAGGTCTCACCCTCCGAACAGGTACTGTCACCGAGTAGACTGTTCCTAAATCAGGATCAGAGGAAACGTTTAGCTGGATTTTGTCCTCGGACTCGATCTCCACAAAATCAGAGAGAGCCCCCACAATGTTGGTCACAATTCTCCTCTTAGCGTCGTCGCTCACAGAGCATCTATCCGAAATAAGAATCATTTTGAGGCGCTGTTTAGCGATGGATGCATTTGACGATGGGTTAGATTTCACTGGGAAAATAATAGCCCATGCGCGCACCAACCGCTCGAAGAAGCTCTCCTCTTTCTCCTCGCTCGAAAATGCCTCCTCATTGTTCATCCTGGATGGCTGTCTCTCATCGAATTGTGCTCGGCATGGCGATAGTTTTCTATTCTGTGAGTTGTCACATATGTCTGAATCTGCACCAGGTACTTGAAAAATCCTTACCCTGCCTCCAACTAAATGCTTATCCGGAAATGAAGAAAATCCGCATGGCCTCTTATTCACCTGTGCATACAAACCATCCAACTGTTGCAAATGAAATTCCAAATCCTAATGCAATATGAAAGAGGCAAGGATTTGCACTAATTTTGAACATTACATTCAGTAAATAATTTCAAGAGAGAATCTAAAGACAGCGGTAATAACTCGGCGCTCCCTGTCAGCCATATGAGTCGTAATCTACCATAGGGAAGTGAGCTACTGCTGTTTGCAAATAACTCTTACATATGCAACTCACAGCACAAGCATAAGAGACCAAAATCAGACTGACTGTAAGGAGGATGTTATTCTAAAAGCAGTGAAAATATCGCTAAACCTAAATCGCCACATCTAATACAATGACATAGTTTTACATGAGATCGATACACCACAATAGCAACGAAAAATCGGATGGTACTTCCGACGAAATGGACATCCTTGTCCGCGGAGCCAGTTCCAAAGCCCTAATTCAACATTCCTACACGAAACCTAGCCACACACTACATCACTGGGACAAACGCAGTCACTCTTATTCAGATGAACTCAGCAATAAAATAAACTAAAAATGTACAAAAGACAGTCTGCAGCATACAATATTCTACAAATCCAACCACAAGGAAACAATTGTATACCATACCTTCCAAGATCCCAGAGGCAGAGGAACTACAGTGGAGCAGTGCACGCGGTGCGATCTCGATGCAACGGCACACATCATGGCACGAGTTCCGCAGCGTCAAGGGCAGGATTCGAACAAGACCGCAAAACCCAATAAACCCAATAAGCCAAACAAGACCCACTCGATTCGCTGCTTCAAATCACCATCGCACTGAAGACGGACAAACCAAATGAAGGTGCGCGAAAGTTCTCTCCACGGCGACCCGAATAGGAAGCTGAAAATTCGCGACGGCTGCTGCAAGCGCTAATCAAGATTGCTAAGGATCACAAATTCCTACACGAACAATCTGCATCGAGGTGGAATTCTCGAGGCCGAGGAAAGAGGGTGCATTCTTTTCGTGCATCCATGTAGCTCCCTTTGGTTCATCCGGATGAGGCAAGTCTGATCACTGTCAGTAATTTGTATTTGTATATATATATATATATTTTTTTTTTCTATATTTCTTTCATCATTCTCTTGGCATGCATATTAAAGATTTTCTCATGCATTTTAATCTAATGCTGTGTGATATGGAAAATATTTAAATATTATTCTTAAGTGATTCGTCTCATGTATGTAAATTTGTTTAAATCATAATGCACTTGTTAAATAAGACATTTTATTGCATTTTATTTTCAGAAGTTTTGTCATGCAAACATAAACTCTTATGAACAAGTACGAGTGATGTTGGATAATATATTCTTAAGCACAAGTACGAGGGATGTTGGATAATATATTCTTATGAACAAGTACGAGTGATGTTGGATAATATATTCTTAAGAACAAGTACAAGTGATGTTGGATAATATATTCTTAAGAACAAGTACGAGTGATGTTTGATAATATATTCTTAAGCACAAGTATGAGGGATGTTGAATAACTCTTAAGAACAAGTACGAGTGATGTTGGATAATATATTCTTAAGAACAAGTATGAGTGATGTTGGATAATATATTCTTAAGAACAAGTACGAGTGATGTTGGATAATATATTCTTAAGAACAAGTACAAGTGATGCTTGATAATATATTCTTAAGCACAAGTACGAAGGATGTTGAATAACTCTTAAGAACAAGTACGAGTGATGTTGGATAATATATTCTTAAGAACAAGTACGAGTGATGTTGGATAATATATTCTTAAGAACAAGTACGAGTGATGTTAGATAATATATTCTTAAGAACAAGTACAAGTGATGTTGGATAATATATTCTTAAGAACAAGTACGAGTGATGTTGGATAATATATTCTTAAGAACAAGTACGAATGATGTAGGATAATATATTCTTAAGCACAAGTACAAGTGATGTTGGATAATATATTCTTAAGCACAAGTACAAGGGATGTTGAATAACTCTTAAGAACAAGTACGAGTGATGTTGGATAATATATTCTTAAGAACAAGTATGAGTGATGTTTGATAATATATTCTTAAGCACAAGTACGAAGGATGTTGAATAACTCTTAAGAACAAGTACGAGTGAAGTTGGATAATATTTTCTTAAGAACAAGTACGAGTGATGTTGGATAATATATTCTTACGAACAAGTACGAGTGATGTTGGATAATATATTCTTAAGCACAAGTATGAGTGATGTTTCATAATATATTCTTAAGCACAAGTACGTGTCACGGACATAATCATGTAAGCTAAAAAATTACATATATAAATAGGTAAAAGTAAGTTAATTCTATAGTATTTAATATGAAAGCTTCTTAGAAACTTCCTAGACACTGCTTTGACTTCATAGCTGTCTTTAATTGACTTTTTGGATTAGAAACGTGATCAACAAGTTGGCCATGTGCCATACATGTTGTTAGCTTGAAGATCAAGCTAACTATGTGGCCCACACGTAGAAAAACTTGCCTTATAAGTCAAGGCATGTGTCCTACAAAGTCAACACATATTGGAGGTCCTATAGAACGTCGCCACGTAGCCCCTAGTTAAATAGTATATATAAAGTCAAGAGTGAAGGCTTCTTCACTCTTATCAACTCCTTTCTTGCTTCTAGTCTAGTTCCAAGGGTCTCTAGTTTTCTTATATTTTGGCAATAGCCATTCCAATTTCTCTTTCAATATATATACTTGTTGTTATATATTTTGTTACCTCTCTTTGAGTGAAGGCTCACTTGTCTGAATTGTTTTTTCATCGAGTTCTTATCCTTGATATATTGACAAGAGTGTATCTAAAATATCAGAGCTTTGTCTAATCTTGATTAAGAGTGGATTACCCCTTTTTCTTGATAAGATATAAGCATATTAGAAGTTGCGGATTACCCTCTTCTAAACTGATATTGTCCTTAGTATTTTCTTTGTTCTCAAGTCCTCTCTTCTATTTGTCTTCAGCCATATTAGACATCTTCTCTCTTCTAAGTTTTATCATGGCAAAACTTGTTGAAATGAAGAGTGCAATGGTACAAATGCAAGAGCAATTGAGGGAGTTAATGCTTGTGATGCATCAACTCAATTTACCACCACAAGGAGCAACAAGATTGGCACGAAGTGAAGATATAGAAATGGTTGGAGCTGCTTCAACATCTACACCAAACCATGTCTTTTTTCTTGTGTTAGAACGTCCTTCAAATGTTAGAGAACCAAGAATCGCCCTACCTGAGAAGTTTGATGGCACCAGGTCTAAGTTTCGAGGATTTATCAATCAAGTACAACTTGTGATTGAACTTCAACCCCAAAGCTATCCAACTCCTAGATCGCAAGTTAGATTCATTGGTACGCTTCTTTCAGGTTCAGCACTATCGTGGTTTTCATCTTTTCTTGAACGACAAGATCCAATATTGGATAATTTAGAGGCTTTTTTGACAGAGTTTCGATCCATGTATGGAGAACATGATGCAATTTGTGTTGCAACTAATAAGATCCATATTTTACGACAAGGCAATCTATCAGTAACGTTATACGCTTCACAATTTTGACAACTTGCAACTGATATCAAGTGGGATGATTCTGCACTTATTAGCCAATTTCTCTATGGATTACAATATGAGGTAAAAAAATTAATGCTCAACTTACCTGATCCTCAAACATTGAGTCAAGCAATTGACTTTGTTGTGAAGTGCGACAATTGCCTTTTTGAATTTCGATCTGAGAACTATACAAGTGGACCTCAACATTACTATAATTCAATGGCAACACCAACACCTCTTCAACACATACATTTGGAAGTAGAGGATATGCAAATTAATGCAGTACGTTTCAAACCTCTTACTGAGCAAGAAAAGACTTGTCGTCGTCAAAAAGGATTATGTTTATATTGTAGAGATTCAAAGCATACTGCTCAACATTGTCCAAAGAAACGACGCAATCACAAATTGAAGAGTATGGCTGTGAAAGAAGACAATATGTCAGAAAACGAGTTTGTCCAACTATAATAGGGGCCTTTCGGTTGGAACCTTGCACAACATCTAGTAAAGGTCCTATTCTCTCCTCAGAGCCCTCTCCTTGTTTTATATTAAATGTTATTTTAGGACCTAAACATTACAAAGTCTATGCCTTGTTAGATTCAAGAGCCTCAGTGTGTTTTTTAGATGAAGAATTTACTAAAAGACATAGCATATCTTTAGTAAACAAAACTAAACCTGTTCATATAGAAGTCATAGATGGTCGTCCATTGTCTTCTGGAGATATAACTCACGAAACCCTTCCTGTAAAAGTAATAATCAATGGTCGTAATAGTTTTGTAGTATTTAATATCATAAGATCTCCTTCTAATCCAATTATTTCAGGTTTATCGTGGTTAGAAAAATACAACCCTCAAATAGATTGGATTTTCCGAACTCTTACTTTCTCTAAAAGTATAACTAAGAGTGTAATTAATCAAGTAGAGAGTCATAAGTCCAGTTCAATTAAACTCGTATTTATAGGTGCAAAAGCTTTCTTGCATGCTGCTATGAAAGAATCACCATATATTATTTATGCCACACCCGTTTCTACTGGCGAAAAGACCTCAAGTGGCATTCCAAGCCAATATCAAGAATTTCAAGATGTATTTGAAAAAAAAAATGCGGATACATTCCCGGAACATCGTCCCTATGATTGCTCAATTGACCTTCAAGAAGGAGCATAACCGCCATTCGGACCAATCTATAGTTTATCACAAAATGAGTTGGCTCAACTCAAGGAGTATATTGAAGAAAATCTAGCCAAGAATTTCATACGCCATTCTAAATCTCTGATAGGAGCTCCAATTCTATTTGTGAAGAAAAAAGATGGATCATTGCGGATGTGTGTTGATTATCGAGGACTCAACAAGATTACCATCAAGAATAGGTATCCACTACCTTTAATATCTGGACTTCTTGATCAGCTGAATCAAGCTAAGTTCTATACAAAAATAGATCTTCGGGGAGCATATAATCTAGTACGCATCAAAGAAGGAGATGAATGGAAGACTGCGTTTTGAACTAGGTATGGACATTTTGAATACAACGTCATACCTTTTGGACTTACAAATGTACCAGCATCATTTCAACATCTAATGAATGATTTTTTTCGAGAGTTTTTGGACGATTTTATAGTTTGTTATCTAGACGACATCTTGATCTATTCTAAGAATCTAGAAGAACATGAATTTCATGTTCGTCATGTGTTACAAAAACTAAGAGATGCAGGACTCTATGCCAAGATAGAAAAGTGTATATTCCACACTACTCAAGTCAATTTCTTAGGTTACATCATTGCAAATGATGGACTTATGATAGATCCTAAGAAAGTTCAAACTATTATAGACTGAAAGATCCCAAAAACAGTAAGAGATGTCCAATGTTTTTTGGGATTTGCCAACTACTATCAGATCTTCATCAAAGACTTTTATCGAGTTGCAGCTCCACTTACACGTTTGACTTGTAAAGACAAACTCCAATGGAATCAAGAAGAGGAAGTTGCTTTTGAATTGTTGAAGACAACGTTTGTTTCTGCACCAATCTTTTATCATGTTGATTTTTTCAAAGCATTCTTTATGAAAACAGATGCATTAGACTTTGCTCTGGGTGCGGTTTTATCACAAATGGGAACACATAACAAACTTCATCCAATAGCCTTTCATTCAAGAAAATTCTCAGCAACAGAAATTAATTATGAGATCCACGACAAAGAACTTCTTGGAATTGTGGATTCTTTTCAAGAATGGCATCATTATCTAGAAGGCACTTCAAGTCCAATCACCGTGTATATGGATCACAAGAACCTCGAATATTTTATGTCAGCACGCGTATTAAATCGTCGCCAAGCTCGTTGGAGCATGTCTTTATCAAGATTCGAGTTCATCATCACTTATCGACCAGGAAAACATCAAGGTTTGTCTAATGCCTTGTCTAGACGTTCTTATCTT